TTTTTTTCCTTATTTTTAAAACATGTATTTATTTAATGGTCAGCAAGAGGCTTGAACTTGCAAACCCAAAATCCAAAGTAACACTGCGCGTTAAGTGCCAGAGCTAGAGTGTCACCGAYACAAAATACCTGTGACAACAATTCCCATAAAACATTTTGTATTAGTGTCGGRCACCTTTTATTGTGCAACATATTTGCTCGTATTCCTTGGAAGAAGGGACCAGATCTTGCAGCTGTTTCTTTACAAGAGTGATGATATTTTGGCTACTGATAAGGACRAGTAAATGCATTTGCATAACCCTGAAGCAGAGTTTGGCGGGCAGCCAAAAGTCTGCTGTAAAGCTGGCAAGAAAAGCTCTATTTGTGTTTTTTTTCCTTTCCTTCTGGCTGCGGTTTCAAGTGTAGAATAAGGCCAGCCTGGTGAGTAAGTACCGATGAGAGAGACAAATTAAATTTCTAGAAAACTGAGGAAAGAGAGGGAAGAGTCTCAGGATGGGTGGGAAGAGTCTCAGGATGGGTTTTAAGGGAAGTCTCTGGGCTGTGTGGTTAGGAGGGGCTGTCCCTCTTTGACTCCCAGCGCTGGTTCTGCTGCTGCCTCATTTCCCAAGCAAGGTGGTAACGGGGACGGCCGGGACGAGGGCCACGCGAGGGAGGGAAACGTGTCCTGCCCTCACTGCGGGTTTATAGCGCGAGGGCAAAGATGCCTCTGCRGGATTAACAAGGGGCATCTGCCCTGCAGTTCACTCTCCATCATCAAAGTTTCTCACGKCTTCTCCAAGAGCCCCGTGTGGATCATCAGTGCGTATGTGACGGAGAGCGAGCACCGGGACGGCCCCGCGCGCCAGGGCCCTTCCTCGTGCCAGAAGCGGCTGCTCGGCAGAAAGGGCACAAGCTGTTTCTACAGGCTGCGAGCCTGCGCGCGTTGTGCTCGGGGCAGGAGCGCTGGCAGCAGCTCCGTTCTGGCTGCTCCGCCGAGTGCCTGCGGCCCCGCGCGCCGCGAGCGGGCTCGGCTCGTTCCTTTCCCTGCACACCAGCTGCAGGCGCCGGAGACGGCCCCGCGGGGCGCCGAAGGAACCGAGGCAGAAACGGGGTCTGTGTGTCCTGCGTCTGTCAGAACGCGTGGGAGACGGGGGCAGGGAGAGGAAAGGCTGAGGCAAAACTTTATGCTTTGACAAACGCTTTAAGAGAGGCGAACCGCAGTTAAACTTGAGCCAGGTCCCATTTTTGCTGGGAAATAATTTTGGTGCAGACATTTTGTATCTGTGAGAATAAAGGGAACAACATCAGAATAAAATGATTTTGTAGATATGCTTTCAAGCTTTTTGAAGCTCATTTTGTGGAAAAGGAAAAGTAAAAAGAGTTTGAGATTTCCCTCATCCTATTTCAGATGGGAAAAAGTTCTAATCTTGTGTTAAGTCTCGTGTCTGTCTACAAAATTAAGCAGAAACACTTCCATATTTTTAAAAAGCCTCAATAAACACACATRCTAAAATGTCTGTGTGCCTTTCTATCATGTCACAGTTGTGAAAATCTTCAGACTATGGAGACAAAGGCACTTGTGTTCATTTTTTTCTATTTAGTCACCTAAATTGTGATTTAGTACAAGTGCCTAAGAGCTAAGTGTTTAAATCCTAATTAAGTCTTTCTTGATTTTCACAAGCGAGGAGTGTGCACTACTAAGCATACTAAGATGTTTAAGTCAGGAGAAAACAGTTYGAGGGTTTTCACATTTGGATTAGGAGTCATTTTTAGATATGCATTTTTTAACTCCTAATTCCATGTGGTGATGGTGATGATGATAGAAATTGAGTTAGATTTGGGACCTGATTTCATTGCCTTTATATATGAGGTCAAATTCAACCAAGGGACAGACCATCCATCAAGGACAGCATCGATGTCTGTTTGCTTGCGCAATTTTAACTCATATTATCCATGTCCTAGGGGACTGCACTTAGCCACTGCACTATAGTGCATTTTTAGGAAAAATTATTCACAGCTGCTGCTGTTGACACTGTTCTATTCTCTTGATAGGTTTAAAATTGTGCAGTACAAAGGTGGGAGCCCTGCACAGCCATATGTGATTTGGTAGCTGTGGCCCTGCACTCGGAGAGATCAAATCCCCTCGGCAGGGGCAGAAATGAGCCTGAAAACCAGTCCTGTCACYGCTGCCGGAAGGGCCGGCCGCTTTTGAGCCAGGGGAGCCTCAGCTGCACGAATTTAGTGTGTGACACCCTGAGCCTCCAGAAGGGCTTTGGCAGCTCTCRAGGGCCCTGAAGTTCGGCCCGGATCCTCGCAAGGGCCTCTTGCCAGCTTCCGGAGGGAAAGACGGGTTGGGATCCTGTCAGACACTGCGAGACTGCTGGCGTCAGAGGGTGATGTTAGCCAAGGAGAGAGAGCAGGCAGTTACCCTCGTAGTGTGAAAAGTTTGGTAACTTGGCAGGTTTTCTTTGCTTTAGTCGTTTTTCCTGCATGTGGCTTGTTCCTCCTTCAGTGCCCAGGGAGGCAGAGGGGTGACTTGGGTGACAGTCTTCATCCTTCTGCTCTTTAACTGATTGACCCTTCTTAAAACCCAGACAACTTAGCGTACGTTGTGAAAAGAATTGTGGTTTTACAGGATCAGTCCCTGCAACATAAAAGGTACCAATTGTGTGAGTACCTTATTACAAAACAGTCATCAGGTTGTCCCCGAAAAGGGAGACCTAGATAAATGATATGCAGAAGAGGAGTCTGCAGAGAGCACTTGCACAGTGTCTCACCTCCACACCGCTTCCTTGCTCCTCTCCTGTGCACCCTGCTYGCTTGGAAACTGCCACAGCGGTGCACACATACGTGGAGCAGGGAGGGCAAGGCTGCCTTGCATGCCCGAGCTTTGTCTGCTTTAGGCTGCCCCAGATACATCTGTGACATGAAAGACTCTGTCTGGACGTAGTGCCAGAGGAAGCGGCATGTATTTGCGGGTGCTCTTTGTGTTGCTCGGTGTCATGATTAACTGGGCTCCCGCGCTCTGAATGAACAGGTACAATTTAATTAGCTTCCCATTCTGTGAGGCTGTGCCACGTACCACGCTCTCAAAAGCGGCTGCTCGAGCAGAAGAAGAGCAGGGTGGAACTGCCAGCTCCAGGTCGCGCTCACCGCAGCGCCAGCAACGCCGCCTCCCCCGTGCCGGGAGCCGGGCAGGGATTCCTAGGGCAAGACGGGGGCGCCGGGGGCCTTGCCGGGCCTCAGGGCGCTGCGCGGGCGGCGAGCGCCGGGGGCAGAGGTGCCTCCTGCGCCCGGAGCGGCCCTGGTGAATCCGCACGCACGCAGGGCTGCTCTCTGGCGAGAATTGGGTAAGCAGGATTCGCTTCAAAGAGCCCCAAGCACATCGCAAAGACCTGATTTTCTTCAGGATTTCAGTGAAGATTCCAGTCCCATTTACAATTCCCCCAAAGTGGAAATGGCTTTCCAGAGCTGTAGCTGAAGGTGAAGCTTAGGTGACTTTAAAACTTTGGCTCCCCTCTGTGAATTGGAAAAGCTGGTGAACGTCTTTGTCTCCTCTGCTCCCAATAGGATGTTTGCATCACTTTATACATAATTCATATACAAACATACTTCATAAGGAGCCACGCCTTTACCTTAGGTTTAGCTACTCCCTCCACACCTGTTYCTGCTTTTTATGCAGACTAATTTTGATGCAAATAAAGCATAAATAAAGTGAATAAACGCACCCCAACATTTTTTTCGGCTTTGGTTTGTCTGAGTTTAAGTGAGCTAAATAACGGTTTCTTTGGCACCATCAGTGCAACACTGTGCGGAAATGGGGGAATTCCTAGTTCTCTGCTTGTCCTCATCCCCTCCCTCTCCCAGCACCTCCTTCCCAGCTCTCAGTTTCAGTTATCAAAGATTTTGAGGGACAACGGGAGGTTTTTCTCTGGTTTGGGGAGCTCGTTAGTGACTGTGGTTGCTGACGGGATAGAAGGGAGCGATTTCAGACCCGCGYGGCTGTGGGGGATGTCACAGTCAAGGAGTGAGGAAGGACAGTGGCCTTGAGTTTGTCCCCTTCCAGAAGCACTTGCCGCATGCAACTACTTCTATATACTTTGAAAAGCTGTTGTAACTTTGAGACTTTTTCTGGTATTATTATTATTTTTGCTTTTTGAGGCTCTGTTCCCTTGTGTCTCGGTCTCCAGCTGACCTCCTCGCTGGGAGCTCGCCGGGCTGGGTTGGCACCGCTGGGCCCTGCGCGGTGCTTTGATCTCGTAGCAAAGGCAGCAGAGCCGGGGCTGCGAGCGCCGCGGCCGCCTTCCTGGCCCTCCCGGGGCTTCCTAGGGCTGAAAACACCGTGACCTCCTTTCATTGCGCTGGTTCCGTGGCAGAAAGCAAAGCCAGGCATACCCAGCCTTTCTTTTTTTTTGCTGTATGTGACTCCATTTCTGTTTGGGAAAGGGAAGGAGTCGCTGTGGGGCTGGGCGCGGGACGTGGGGAGGGTTGCTGGGACGTGCGGCCCCGTGGGCTGGGTGTCTGTAGCCACAGCAGTWCTTGTGGGCTCCCCTTTTGCTCTCAGTGCTGGGTCAGTGATGAAGTTCTGGTTCTTCTTGTGCTCACGTCTCACGCAGCCTTCTGTGTCCCTTTGAACTGRAGGTGAAGCAGAATTATTATTTGGAAAGTGCTCAGCATGCTGAATTGCACTTGTGTTTTCCCAAGGAGCGCTATAATCACTGTATTACAGCTCCCTTAACTTGCAATGCATTGGCAGCAATCGTAACGCGCGACCAGGCCACGACGGGGTGTTTGTAGCCGAAAACATGAGAACGAGCCGCGCTCGGCGCCCTCAGCCCTTGTCCCTTCTCTCCCGCAGCCTGTGTGCGCAGGAGGCCGTGCCGGCGGCGCTGAGGCCGTGCGTGGTGGCCAGGGACTGCGAGACGACGCCGTGGTCGGCGTGGAGCCCCTGCTCGAGGAGCTGCGGCGCGGCCGGACCGGCCCCCGGCCTGCGCAGCCGCCGGCGCCGTGTGGCCGCCGTGGCCCTGGGCGCCGGCCGCGGCTGCCCCCCGCTCGAGGAGAAGGAGGCCTGCGGAGGAGGAGGAGGACGAGGAGAAGAGCTGCAGCCCTGCCCCAGGTAGCACCACGGCCTTCGCGGTGCCCTGTCTGCATGCGCCTGCCTCCCGTTTGATGCCTTCCATCTGTGTCTGTAAAAACCATCGCTTTTGTAATTACTCATCGTTATTAGGGCTATCACTTAGTAATAACACGCTTCTGATTGTTGCCATTAGCTGTTCTTGCAGCAACAGTGATTACAGTTTTATATAGGAATATGTTTAAATTACAGATGCTGCGGATTCTGTTCAACTGTTTCCTTAGCTGCTCCGAGCCTGGTCAGGTCTGCATAGCTCGGCTTTCACTGGCTCTGAAAACATGATCTTTCCTTAATGTTTCCCCTTCATCTCCTCGTAAAAAATATGTCAGTCCTCCTTGAGGAAAATGGGAGCTGATTGGGGGTAACGGAGCAGTGTTTATGCAGCTCTATTGCAGGCACTTCCTAAAATGAAGCAAACTTTGCAGTCTCCAAGTGCTCACTTGGTTTACCTCAATCTTGGCTCTGGAGGGAGGTGAGGATCTCATTTCCTTTCTCATGCCATTATGCTTGGTCAGGCTAGCGTAGAGAGGGCTTCATTTGCTTTGCAAAGAAGATAAGACATTGCTTAAATTTTCATGTKAAATGTTCTGGGGTTGACTGCAAAATGCTTCGAGACTGCTAGCATTTTATATACATGTGGTCAAATCTCACTGTCTGTGTTTAATAGAAGGACTAAGCAGCGATGGAGCCATGAGTTTGGTAGGTGCTGCCCAAACCTTTGCCAGTGCCCTTGCGAGATGCATTCCTCAGAAAGTCATATCTGTAAAAGTGTCACTGTATTGTTGAGTTCATTCAGAATCAAATGCTGATGGTTTCTGTGCACCCTGCTAGCAGAAGAGAGGAAGTATATAAAAAAAAGTATTCTGTTTCTTGATTAGTTCCTATGAAAAAGCTCTTAGGGGGTGATTTTTGCTCCTGCCCAAATGCATATCAATTTCAAAGACAATAGTTGGTGAGATTGTYTCGCTGATTTGGCTGCAGGTGACACCTGATTGGGGTATGGCGGCTCCCGGGCAATCAGGCAGGGAGCAGACGTGTCTGTCCCCAGCTTCTCAGCTCTTCTCTTTTTGATCCTGCAATGGATTAATGTGTGAGCGAGGGTAAGGGCTCGGAGCAGAGCCAGCAGAGTCCCGCAAGKGAGAATCTGCAAACGGTGGGTGCTTTTGTCATGGTGCCACTCTTGGTGGAGACGGAAAGCCGGTGCTCTCTGAGAACAGCAYGGTTGCTTTGCCACAATTTCCGTGAGCGTTGGCTCCTCAGCCTTTCTCTCCCTGCTGTGCTGCAGCCTTCCACTCTGCCCAGCAAGGTGTCTGTGGGGACTGGCATAAACTGTCCAAAGAACTAGCACGAGATGTCCAGGCTAATATAACCCTCGGCCCAACAGTATTTCAAACTGTCTGTGATATTTTGCTRTTTCTAGGGTTTTACTGTTTGAAAATGCAGTTGATAGACTTTGAACTTTAGTGTCTTTGTAGCTTTAGAGAGAACTTTGCCAAAGTTGCCCAGGAAGGAAACTTCTCATCTAGCCCCTCACGGTGGCAGAAGGCGTCGGGCAGTGAAACGCTGTGAATCTGCAGTACCCTGAGCAGGACCTGCCYGCCCCAGTGCTCTGTGAGCAGGGTGGTTTTGTGTTAACCAGGAGAAGRCAGACATTTCTGCTCATGTCACCTGGGCATCAGCAGCCTGCTCGGGATGTTATCCGTGCGTATTCCCAGGCTGGGAACTGGGGCAGTTGGCAGCAGCACAGGATCCCTGACGCTTCACACGGGAAGCCCTTTCAATACCCCTATTCTTACTGGAACCTACTCTTTTTTCAGGATATACCTAGAATACTTTGAGCTGTAGGTACCTCATTTGTTACTCTGCTGAGCTTTACCAGACAGCTTGCTTTATTTTGCCTTATGAGAAGAAAGAATTTAGGGAAACTGAGTGTCAAAAATTAAAGATTTCTCTTTCATTAGTGATGTCCTAGTGTAAGACTGCCTTTCTGGCTTGAATTTCAGAATTATATGTAGTAGAGTTAATTTTAAAAGCTTTAGGGTAGGTATCTTATTTATTTTCCTGGTTCTCAGGAGGTTGCTCAAAGTCCTATAGCCTGAAGGGAGCAAGAAGTTGCTGTATATTAGAAAGGTACCAAGTGCTTGCTTATTTGTTGCATAGCCGTCAGTSAGTCATCACTTTAAAAACAATGTTTTATATCATATTAGCCTTGATGTGCAACTTTGATGTTCACTGGGAATAGATAGATTTTCCAGAATTATGATTATGTGTTTAAATCTTTCATTTTGGTAGTGGTTGCTATGTTACAAGACAGGGATTTAGAGAGGAAAAAAAGAAAAAACTCCTTGCTTTGTTGGAAATTCAAAGCTTTTCAGAAGCTAAATGGTGGCAAATGGGAAAAAAAWTGAGATTTGATTTTTACAGAAGGCTTGCGGTTGGTTCTTCACTAATTACAAGGGCCTGTTGGAGTTAAACAGAGATGATGCAGTCAGTCTCAGTAATGCCAGCTGTGTGTGCGATGCCTCGTGGATGGGCAAAGTAATGGGAAGTATCAGCTACTCCGCTTAAAAGCCTGCGGAGATTCTGCTGCCAAAGAGTGTCTGAGATCCCTGTTTCCTCCCTAGAAAGGTCTTGCCTGGGGTTTTGCCCTTAGCGGGATAGCAGGAGGTCAGGGATGTTTCCAGTGTAATTGCTTGTTAAAGACCACCAGCCGCTGATGCTTATGACCAGAATTGTGGGATTTCCACCCCCCGCCGAAACTCCTCACATTTAAGGACCTGTCCAGCCAGGAGGAAGCAGGATGGGTTGGACACATGTGGGCTCCAGAGGTGCCCCAGAAGAGCCGGCAGCTGYTCCTGAAGCGCTGCTCCGCAGCCGTGTGGCGGATTAGCCGCTTCTGCCGGGGCAGAATCCAAAGGGATTTTTTTAGATTCAGAGGCTGATGAGCTTTAATTATCTCTATGCTCAGATTTAGTTACTTTGCATAATTTTAATCATTGATGGCCTAATTTTCCTAGGTGTTACCTCCCACGGTTCAGGCTGACTTACGAAGCAGGTGCTCACACCTTCAAAACGGAGTCTTTAGGGGCCAGAATTCACAGGTGACTACCAAAGCTAGGGACTGATAATGAATTTTGCCTCTGTCAATCATTGTTTTAAGAAAAACTTCCCTGAAACAAGTATTTCCATGACTGAGGAAAGATGTATGTGCTTTGTATTTAGATTCCTWGCCCTGAAAAATATGTCCTAGAGGGCTGTGGAGGAGGAATTCACTTCATCTAATGCTGGAGGAGGCGCTGCTTTCTTTGCCTTCCTGAGGCCCGGGAGGCTGCAGTAGCTCTGCACACTCGGAACATGCAAGGAGGAGGTGCACGGAAGAGGGCATTCATGGCTGTGCTTTATATGTTGTGGAGTTCAGGTATTTGGGGCTTGTCATGTAAAAAGTGCCCTCTCTGTGTCRGTGCTAAGCCCTGTGAGCACCTCTGAGTTTGCATGTGGTGCTGGGTAGYGTTTAAGAGAGCGCAACAGCTCATCCGAAAGGAGCTGTGAAATGAAAGTAACTGGCAGCATTCACAAGCACTTTCTGTGAGTATGCAACAAAATTCATAATCATTTTGTGGTTAGAAATCATTCTTTATGCCTATATTTGCCAAAATAAGATGTTACACGAACACTCATGTGTGCTCAGGCAAACTAATATATTTATTTTTCATAGTTTTGGGATGCCTGTTTCTTGGCAGTAGCTGTAGTCCTATAGTYGGGCACCAGCTATTTGCTGTGGAGAATGCACAGAGTTACAGGACGGAGGCTTTTCCCATGGATTTATCCAGCTGGAGCCTACAGCAATCAGTCGGCAGGGCAGCAAACATTTGGCATTTTAACAACCTGTGGAACTGATGGAAGAGGACAGAGCATTTGTTTTGAGGAAGGAAGGAAATTATTTTGCACATATTACAACAGTGAAAACTGTACGGAGGGAGTAAACTGTGGARTATAGAAAAGCAAGATATAAGGCAGCAGAAATGTAAAGAGATGGCTTAACAAAAGCAGCGTTTCCWAAGACTTGAAGTCAGAGCTGAAGGAAGTCTTTAGCTCTTATTTTCTGGACTGATACTCTGAGCCCTTAATGGAAATGAATTGTGTCTGTGAAAACTGCTCTATTTGAGATCTGCCCTCCATTTGGAGACACGGCAGCTTTCTCTTTCCTGGGTAGACAAAACTGCGTTCCTTACAGCTTAATATGTTCTTCCTGGCACTTAAGGCAGAATATAGCAATGGCAGTTGTTCATATAGCATTCCAGTACTTGTGCCCAAGAACGTTGCCCTTTCTTGAAAAGCATGTTCTTTTGGGGTGAACTGAATAGAGAACAAAAATACATTTTTTTGCTAGATCTTGCTGCATATCACAACTCCTAGAAAGAAAAATGTGAGAGCTCCATTGATCTAACCAATTCCTTGGAAGAATTAGTAAGGCTTTGAGTCTTTGTAAAACTGTCACCTATAGAAAAACTGCCCAGTGCTTGGAGCTCCATTAGTGTATGAAGGGTTTTTGCTGTTAAGTGCACTCYGGAATGAGGTGTTTCGTTATTGGCCAAGAGAGGTGGTTTAGTTGTTGAGCGCAGGGCAGAGAATTAATTTTCACACTTAATCAAACCTCTTAATCTTTGTTCCTATTTTTGCACCCTCCTCAAAAGGTGTTGTCAGGGTGATTTAGTGTTTTGGGATGCTTTGGAGATTAGTACTATGTGAAAAGTTTTACAAGTATTACTAGCAAATKACAAATATTTAACAGTTCCAGATTTAATATTTAACACGTTTCCAAACAGTCTGTGTCTCTAACAGGGAAATGTCACTGCCAAGAAGAAAGCAATTTGTATTCTGCAGAACTCCACTGTTGTCCTCTCACCAGCTCCCGCTCCCCTGGCCGCTCCCTTTGCACAAGCCCAGCTGTTACCGACCTCTCTTCTCCTTCCCAGGTTTTCGTGGAGGACCTCGGCGTGGTCAGGCTGCCGGGTGTCGGCGGCGGCGTGCGGCGGCGGCGTGCGGACGCGCCAGGTCTTCTGTGCCCAGCTGCCCGCCGGGGCTGCGCCAGGTACGTGCTCTGCGCCAGGTACGTGCTCCGCGCCAGGTACGTGCTCCGCTCTGCGCCGCGCCGGCGGCTCCCGCGCGGGCACCTGCACGGGAGCAGCTAACCCTAGCCTAACCCACGGGGCTGCGGACAGGCGGGCTTTGGAGGATGCAGAGATGAATTCTGTTCACCAACCCTCCCTGTGATTGAGTTTCCTTCCTGTCTCCTATAGCAGGTAGCCCAGCCCCCTGGTAGCCCAATCCATTTATCTGTGTTTTTAGTCCTGGTTTGGAGTATAAAATAAGATGTCGCGCTCCGTTCTGGGTACAGCTTCAGCCTCGGCTTCAAATTGATACACAATCTTTGTGTTGGTTTGAAGGGGAAAGCCAAAATAATATTGTCACAACTTCTGAGAAGACAGACAGTTCTTGGACTCTGGAAGTGAGTTATTTTCCTTTTAGAAGAGTAATGAGTAGATACAGATGCATGATGAATAATTCATCTTGGTCTATTTTATTTACTGTATGTAGTGCTCCTGCAGAATATGCTTTTGAGCAGAGATGGCAAGATAATAAGAACACAACATCATCCCTTAGATTTATTTGCTTACAAAGCCAAAGCAAATGTTTCCTTGGGCACCCCGTGTGTCCCAGCATCCTGCAYAGACACTGAGATTAGAGAAAACCAGACCCGTTTTAATCTCTGTTCAGCCCATACATAGTTCCTGCTTCACCTCTTCCAGGCATCTGGAGCTACCATGCTCTCCTGGCATGACAAAGACTCTGTTGTTCCACATAGGCAGGCAGTGCCCATGCCCTTCCAAGTGAGAAAAGTCTTCTCTTGGTGCCAGGAGCCAAGCATTTCTTGACTGCCTCCATCCTTCYGACCACCTCTGTGATCCAGGAAACCACTGTGGGGCAGGTTGGTGGGCAGGAAACTTTGACTTTCTGACTTGACTCACTTTAAAAATAAAATTAAAAAAAAAGGATATTATAAGTTACTCTAGAAAACCAGTGTCTGAATCTCTTAGACCAAGGTAATTGGCAGTAGGATTTGTGCTATATATCCAGTGCATGCTCACTTGTAGGTTTTATTTTGTTCAGTGTTCAGTGTTCAGTACAACTTAAAAATTGCAAGCCCTGTACTCACCAGAAAGAAAACACATTCTTACCGTTCTAATGGTTACTTCTATAAAAGCAAATAAAAATTATTAGCAACTTAAAAACCAAACGTGTACAGCAATTGCATAAGGTATGAATTATGTCCACTGCACTGAGGCAATGTTGCTAATTTGCAGTAGACTTTGGAAAAGAAGAGCATCACCAACAGCATAGCGAGACAAAGAGGGAAAAATGAGTGTCCTTCCCTACTGTTAGTAATACTCAGTGTCTCTCATTCACTAATTACTGCCTGAATATATATTTTTTTTCTTTGAGCGCATAAGGAGTGATGGCTTCTCTTGCCTCTTTTTGTTGTAGTCTGAATTTATAGAATAGATTCGTTCATCATTGAGGTATCTCATATTTTATTCTGCTGTTTTTTCAGTGCTGGAGTGAATATGGGGAAGTTAATTCTTCTATGTGTAAACTAATGTGGAGTCTAACAGCTACTAATGAAAATATAGTAGCTTTTCTTTCTTCATTTGTATGGCCTTAAAGGGATCATTTAGTAAGGAAACAAGTGAGTCTAACAGGATATTCCTGCCCGCCACAGTGGATACACTTCCACTGAGTATTTGGACCTAAGCACAAAGACACATGTAAAACAAGATTTTGTCCCATGGTGTCTCCAGTAACATTCTTGAATAATATATATTGAATTGTTCTTGGAGACAGGTACCATCTGTGAAATATTTATATATATTGCTCCCAGCTCTTTTATCCCTGCAGGGTATTTCTCTCATTCTTTCATTTGATTGGTTTTCTTATATCTTTCTTCTTTTATTAAAACATGTATATTTAGATTTGAGCTCCTGTTTCCTTGGTACTCCCTGTATGTCAGTGATTCAGAAGGTTAAGTCTACTTGAAATATTTCTGTTTTTTCCATCATATAATTCTGAATTGAAAACACTGGTAAGGAACCACATTCATCCTATTATTATTTCAGAAATATATTGGTAGGATTTCTGAAATTAGATTTCTGAAATAAGATTTCATATCTTTCCCCCGATGAGGTGACCGAAGTCATCCCTGTCATGACCCTGGTCTAATTAGTCATTGCTTAGGCATTAGGGAGGAATTTCTTCTTGGAAGGAATTCCCAATAACATGGTGATAAGTGGGAGCAACTTTTCCTATTTGCTGAGGGACTGCAAGGTAGCCTCACTGACCAGGTTGGTTTTAAAAAAAAGGAAAAAAAGTCTGAAGTTGTTCTTCTATTTAACTTTCACCTAAGAAACCCTTTTGTACTATTTTTTTTTTTTTTTTTTTTTTTCATATCAATAAGTAATTCGAGGTAATTTTCCCATACCAGCTTTAGCTGAGTTTATGATCTAGTGTTTGGAGACTCTCGGCCTCCAAATCTATGAATCACTGTCTTCCAGTCCTTGAATCCTTTACAATATTGTTGCATTCAGAGACTCTTCCATCTGCCAGATGAAGCTGATAGGGAATGCTTGGTAAGTGTTTGAAGTACTGGGTGATTCAGGTACCTGTATYTCAGTGTATATATGGATAAGCCTATGTGTAAAAACCTAGGTTTGAGACTCCACTATATTACATGCCACCTATTCTGTCCATCCAAGGAATCTACATTGCTATTCAACTGTAAGACTTTGTTCATTTTACATAATTAGGTTTAAAAAGATTCTTTTTTTTTCCCTCTTTAAGCATCTCACTGAAATTTTTAAACCATATGCATTTATAAGGCTTAATTTTCACTGAAGGGTAGTTACCTAATATATGATTTATTGTAATTCGTTTAATATCCAGAGACAGAAGCAGCAATTGAATTTGAACTGATGTTGCTTTTAAGGAGGAAACAAGTTTTGCACAAAAGGCAGTTCACAAAAAACAAATGACCCTGCATTATGGCCTCAATCTCTCCTGTCTTCCCATCATCTGAGGATGCTTCCTGTTCCCAGAAATCCCAAATGCAGAGAAAACTTTAGAAGCAAATGGTTACCTCTTTGTAAATATAAATCTGTTTACTTAGCTCTAGCACTTTGAAATAAAGCACCAGCTCAGATCTTCACCTTATTTTCAAAGCTGGGTTTTGCTAGCATAGAATACAGATATTCATCCTTCTTCTGTTTTTGCTTTTTTTTCTGGAGCAAGGGACCRTTTTGAGAGTGTAGATTTTTATAAATATATTCTGAAATGCAATAACATTAGATAATTATTCAAATAATTKTCCACAAAAAAAATGAGAAATGTGGATGAGGACCACTAACTCTCACCATCCCCAGTGTAGTAAAAAATATATACACTTAGAAGTAAGGAAGACAATTATAAAATGTTCAATTATGCAGATTCTTTTCTCATTTGGAGATGGAACTGTTCTTGCTTACCCAGTTACATTAAATATGTCCACTAATATAGGAATTACAATTCTTTTAGAGTGCAGGGACTGTGTCTGTGTTGGGATTTTTAAGGAACATACGAAGTGCCTCCTTGTGATCTTCAGGAATTTTTGCCTTCTCTTTTGGAAGCCAGGGTATATATCCATTTGTTTTTAATTAAACTCTGCTTTTCGGATATTTCTAGAGATTATAACCCTTTATCTCTAGTCTAGGGGGTAACATCCTTCATGCAGTTCTCCAGAAGTGTCTTCCTTCTCATCTGAACTAGTTATCAGTCGTCCCTTGCTGTCCCTAGTGACCAGGATTGCCATTTTTTCCGTCTTTTCTGCAGCTTTCTAACTAGGGATCTCTGTGCCCTGTCATTCTTTCATAAGGTTTGTGCTTTATATATCTTGACATTTTTTCTTTTTTACTTCTTTGAATGAGATCCAATTTACCTCTCACTTTCAGAATTTTCTTATAAAGTTATTGGAGCCTGTCTGCTTAAGTTTTAATTATAGAACTGAAAAGACCTTTGTGAAATGCTGTTCTTCCTTGAGACTTCTTTATTGTTTTGCCAGCATAGTAAACTTGGCTAATAAAATTTACCTCATATGAGCACCTCAACAACAACTCTGCATTCTCTGGTGTTCTTAATATTGTAATTTTTCACCTGAAAGTCCATAGTTAATTCTTGTACATGTAGAGAAGCTGCAGAAAACTGCTTAATATTTGTTTGCTTAATATTTGTCTCCATCATATCAGTCTCTATAGTATTTGTTTCTTTGTTCTTGTATTTTGATACAAGATACCAGAGAATGATCAAAGTAGCTGATCACTCCTCTGGATCCTGACATAACTCCATTTTCCTTCATGTTAAAAATATGGGAAATATCATTCTAGAATAATAAGCCCAATCCTTAAATACAGACGATTCATTACCCAAATATTGCTCAGATTCCCTTTTTTTCCTAAAAGTTAATAGCTCTTCAAATGCTTCTCCTAATGCAGTTTTCATCCCTCTTAACCCATCAAAGGCTGAAAAATGATTTAATTGGAATCACCCAATGAAATTCCCTATCTGTCAATAACAAAACATATTAAAATTCCTAGTAAACCATGAAAAAGAGCCTTGATTGTACTTAAAATGATTGCCCCTCTACTCAGCTCTGGTGAGGCCGCACCTGGAGCACTGTGTTCAGTTCTGGGCACCCCAGTATAGGAAGGACGTGGAGCTTCTGGAGAGGGTCCAGAGAAGGGCAACCAGGATGATTAAGGGAATGGAACATCTCYCGTATGAAGAGAGGCTGAGTGAGCTGGGCCTGTTTTCTCTGGAGAAGAGAYGGCTCAGAGGGGATATGATTAATATGTATAAGTTCAGGAAGGGAGAATGCAGGGAGGAAGGGGACAGGCTGTTCTCACTGGTGGCCAGTGATAGGACGAGGGGTAATGGCCACAAGCTGAAGCACAAGAAGTTCCGTCTCCAGGTGAGGAGCAACTTCTTTACTGTTAGGGTGACAGAGCAGTGAACAGGCTGCCCAGGGAGGTTGTGGAGTCTCCTTCTCTGGAGGTCTTCAAAACCCGCCTGGATGCCACCCTGTGCCACATGCTCTAGGTGTGCCTGCTTGAGCAGGAAGGTTGGACTAGRTGATCTGTAGAGGTCCCTTCCAACCTTAAATATTCTGTGAATCTGTGAATTCTGTGAATCTGTGAATAATTTTCCTTTAGGTGTTTTTTGATTTAAGTGTATCTACTTTCCTATTCTTCATACAGTATCTTAAGACAAAAGAAATAGATTTATCTAATTAATGATGTCTTTGACTTTTGCCATTTTTGGGAGCAAAGGAGTAGTTGTGCCTTACATGCCTTTTAATGTTGCCTTGCAAAAGTGTTTCTTGCAAAAGTCTTTATTACATTTTAATTTTTCTTTCCTTTAAAAATTCTGCATCCTATCAGCTATTGATAGACTTAATTTCTTGGCTTACTTATTTCACCTATAGACTTTTTGTTTGTTTTGATTTTTAGAATTCTATCCAGTTCATCTTAGATGTGATTTTTCATATGCCAACATGTACCATCTGCTGTAACAAAATAGGTTGAYTAAAACTCTTTTAGTCTCCTTAAAATTCAAGACATGGTTAATGATCAAGTATCTTTTSAGTACTAATAATGTTGTTTTTTGATCCACCTTCAGCATTGCCCTGAATATATTTGTCTTACAAGTTATTAGTCATTAGTGGCATCCCAAAGCAGTCACAGAGCCTTCCGCTGCCCTCTCCTTCCCAGTCCTCTGGGTCTGGGCTCCCAGAGAGGCGGGTTCCTTGTTCTACAAAATGATGAACTTTCTGCCTGCTTCATGCTCGGAAGCAGTCACTTGCTGCTGTATCCTTTATGGTTAGGACTGTGGCCCTCTCACCTGGCTTTTCGGAAGGGGCTGGGTTGTTGCAGATGAGGGCTCTGTAGGGGTTGGCTGTGGGATGCGCTGGGTGCGAGTCCTGCCCTGTGTTAAATGGGAGCTGCTCTCCAGTTAAAATCTTTCCTTCAGATTCAGGAGCCTCCTTCCCTGCTCTTCCAAACCCGCCTGGATGCCACCCTATGCCCTGTGCTCTGGGTGTCCCTGCTGGAGCACGGGGGTTGGACTAGATGATCTCTAGAGGTCCCCTCCAACCTCAACCATTCTGTGGTTCTGTGATTTGTATTGCAGCATAACCATGCATATCCATGGAAAAATGGACTTATTCTAAGGAAATTAGCTGTTAGGGAGTCTGATGCTTAAATCCTGGTTTCCCTGTCTGGTTTATGAAAACTGAAAGGGAGTAGGTCAGAGTGGGTTAGTCATGAGAGAACTTGACCAGGACCACAGAGGAAGGTAACTGATGGTCCCCAGTGGCATGAGGGACATCTGGCTGGTGCAACAGCAGCAGAAAATCCAGCACATAGATTAGCTGATTCAATTCACCCAACCAAGCTCTCAGGGACATCCATCCCTCTTTCTCCTCTGCCTCCAAATAAACGAAAATACCCAAGAATCTCCTTACCCTAAACTAGTTATTTATTACCCATATGACCTAACTGGTTAGAAAAGATGAAAAATACCTCTGAAGTGCAAAATAYATCCAGGCAAAGCTGCTTCACGTTGCTGGGATCCAGAGTTATTGATCGTAAGCTCACCAAACACTGAGCAAAMTTTACAAGATTAAAGTCATGTAATGGAAAAATAAATATATAACAGCTGGCTTATTCAGAGGAACCCTTCAGGAGCGAGACTGCAAATAATTTTATTCAGTTCTTTAGGGTGCTTGATGATATTGTTTCAATGTGCATTTCAAAAATTGGAGTTCAAATCCATTAGGGAAATGCAACCTGTGTACTGTAGAGGCATAATATTTTCAGTTCTTTCATGTTTAGAAACTAATTAAGGTGAAATGGAAAGAATACATACAAAAGACTTTGATGGTGAGAAAATGTACTTTCTAAATGTGCCTTTAAAAGAATATGCCGTATTTTGGTCAGCAAGCTACATGAAATATTTATCTAATCAAAAATACAAAAAATGCAAAAATACATTTATATCGTTTGCTGTGGTACGCAGCAGTTCACATGGTGTCCCGTCAGTTCCCACGAGATACGAGGTTTTAGTTCAGGTCTTTATCTTTGAGATCCGAAAAGTGAGAAAAGCATTTGTGGTTATTTCCAACCCCAGCCTTTAGATGAGTTTTATCTGAAATTTGATGATGAGCTTTGGGTGATCTGGCACCTCGGCCTCCCTCTTTCTCGGCCACTCTTTAGCTTCTCAGGTTGCCCTGGTCTGTTCGGTCGGCCAGCGAGTCCCRGGAAGCACCGCGTTCCCTGGGAAAGCTCCTCCCGTTTGCTCTTTCCCTTGGTGATTTGTACCAATTCCCCTGCTATGAAACCAAGGGAGAGCCCAGCTGGGATCAGGATTCCCTGCTGCAGCAGAATATACCGACACAAGGAAACTTCTGGTCCCCGAAGGGCTGATCGTCTGTCTCACTTTAATAATTTTGCAAGCGCTTTTATTGTTCGGAAATGCATTAAACCATTGTCCCTCGTGGCAATCTGCTATTAACCTTCTTTCAGGCTGCGATTAGCCTTCCATTCATACTTTACTTCCTATATTAAGTAGATTTTAAGTGATAATAGGGCTTTAACTTTGTGTCTTGTGGCTTCCAGACTAATTGATTCCTTTTAGAAGCAGAACCCCCCTGTTTCCATGAGGTGTGGGGGGCATTGGTCTTTTGCAACGGGGGACACGATGGGCCGGGACTGCTGCCTCTGCAGCCGGTTGCATTGCGCTCACCAGCCCTCCCTTGTCTAATCGGCCCTTTTCACTCTAAAAACAAGCCTTTTAGGTTAAAGGAATTACTTTCAAACGTTGTGCTGGTTAATCCCTCTTCTGTTATACACAGGTAGRTGTTTTTATAACGCAATTTGCTCCCTTGTGATTTTCTCAAGTAATTTCACTTGGTATYGATCCAAGGGCCTTTAGTTTGCAAGCCCTGGCACAGGCAGCAAGGGCGTTTGCTAAGATTCACCATTGCTTTCTTGAATGCACATATTAATTTGACACAGTTTTGCCAAAAGATGTGGTAAATAGCTGGATTTGTTTGTCAAATAGCCTTGAGATTCAAGTGTTAACTAAAATAAAGCCTGTGTCCACAGAGGAGAGAGAGACCTGATGTTCTTTACCTGTATGCTAGATACATTAGAAGTATTTAGGAATGTCTCATAGGCTGTCATAATCAGAAATATGTATATGTTTTTGTTGTTGTTTTTGTTGTTGTTCAAAAGAAGAAATGAAGTTAAGGCCCAGGAAAAAGTTATTTACCTCCTGGAGAGTGAAAAAAATGAAATTTGAAAGGAATCAGTACAACCCAAGGGCAGCCCTTTGCATCCTGTCCCTCACTGACTGGCGTTGCTTTGTAACACAGTATTGGTATGTGTGCCTGCTGCTATGAATACATATGACTATATTTATAGGTAATTTATTTATTGGCTTAAAAATGCATTATGCAGATGGCTGTATCAGACCAGATTTTCTTCTTGCAATCTCCCCCAAAATCAGTATCCAGGACCACAGCAAAAATATATATAGGGAAACAAGATAYTTTAGAACCCAATTTATTATCTCCTGCTGGTAGCAATAACCTGAAAATAACAGCAAATAGTAAAATCCAAACTTCAGGCAGACACTGGTGCTGGGAACAGCTGTAGTCACATTTATAAAGGATAGATTCAATATAACACCTATAGAAATGTGCAATGTTTCAGAGGCTCCCAGATTAGTACTTGATTGCTTTTTCRAATTTAGTCTATAGATTGGGAAGAAAGGATTTTTAAAGCATATGAACAAGTGAAATAAATGCAGTGCTGCTTGAATCCGAGATATTGGCTCCCCTTCCCACTCTGCCCTTCCCTCACTCTTGTTTCTACCTTCCTCCTTGCCCCCACGAAAGCAGACTAATACTTTTCCAAAGCAAGTAGTTTCATAAAAGGCACGTTTTGTAGGATGCCCTTACCAAGTCCTTTAGGGAGCAGAGCTAGCAGGCTGTCTRTGTTCAGAGCTGGGCTGTTATGGGGCTGTCCCTGAGCCCTTGCAGCAGCACGTCCGTGCGCCGGCTCCCCGGCAGTGAAGGGAAGGATTCCTTCCAGGATAAGGAGTCTTATTTGACCTTATAAAATCTCCTATCCTATTTCTTTTTTTCCTTTTACTCAAACTGCAATTCACCTAAAGCACATAGGCACCATTGGTTGTGGCTGTTCGGTATCAAGTGCTGGAGTGCGGCTTTATCTAGTGGTAAGTTTTATCTAGTGATACAACAATTAATTTTTCTTTATTAAATTCATACGGGGAAAGGGACTTTGCAATGAAACCTTGAGTAGAGCAGAGAGAGCCTGGATGCAATTCTTTGAATCGACTAGATGCTCTGAAATGTAGTTTTGCAATGTATTCCTGCAATGGAGCTCTCCAAAAATGCCRTGCAGTTTTGCCAAGCTTAATGCTAAAAGGCAGGTTAAGTGATGAGTGAGGCTTCATGGTAAAATAAATACTCTTATCTTCAAAACTCTTAAGATTTATCTCATTCTGCCCATCACTTTACTGGCACAGTCTCTAGAAAAGGTTTGTTTACTTTAGCATTCAGGTGAATTGGATTTATGCTGCCTTGTAATCTCTAAATGATCATGTCAAAGGCCATATAGTGTCTCCAAAATCTTTCAGAAAACGGTCATTTTACTAAAGTGTTCCCTTTCAGGTCAGAATTAAATTTCAGCCATTAATATTTAATCCAGCTCTACTGAGGAGTAGGAATCATACGCATTGACACTAGCCTGATGTCTCAGCTTCAGTAGTTTCAGATGAAAATTTATTGGGATTTTGAGCACTGAGATCCTGCGTGAAAAAAGAGGAAGCTCTGTTTCCTTTCAAATGATTTGTTTGAAGGCAGATTGTAAAATATCAACAAAAGAAAAGTTTGCTAATGTATTGGGCATATTTTAAAAATCCTTTTCAAGTGAGTTCCACACATGGAAGCAAAGAAAAATAGACATGAAAAATGAAAAAAAAGAGGATAAAGCAAATTCAGTAGCTATAAAAATTAATGAAGTCGTGGTAATACCATGGCAGAGTAAACTCAAACAAGCCTTTGCCTTTTGAAAGACTGCTTTGATATTGATTTATCTAAAGAGACAGCCAAATTCAGCCCATAATGTAATTAAAATGCAATATCATGTAATGACTCAGAAGATAGATTTGAGAGTCGTCTTCCTTCTTTTACTGTTCCCCCACTCCCCGTGAGTTAAAAGGTGAGAGAAATAAATTGAAAGCTGAAATCTCTTCTAATAAATGGATATATGAAGGGAACTGAGTCTGTGGCCTGTGTCGGCGCTGCTGGTGGTTGGAAAGTCTGGGGCCTGGCGTGGAGCTGAGCCTGGTCCCCCATAGGAATGTGGGGTTCCCTTGTGGTGCCCCTGTGCTCCGGTGTTGTGGGATGAGGTCTGCGGGTGCATGGGGATTCAGCTCCATTCCCTTGCTCTGGAATTATGGAAAATAGGCACTGAACTTCCCGCTACAGCCCTGGTTGGTGCTACAACTGTCCTCTTGAAGGTGGGTGGCTCCGACAAAAGTTTAAGAAGCGCCTTGCTTAAGGGAGGATGACAGTTTTGCAAAATGAACTTCTTTTTTTTTTTTTACCCCCCGTTTTCCCCTCCTTTTGCCTCCTAGTTACGAGACCCGTGGATGGGAAGCTGTGCGCGGGGCCCGCGCCCGCTGCGTGCCAGCTGTGCAGCGTGCCCTGCCCCTCGGAGTGCCGCGTGTCCCCCTGGGCACCCTGGGGTCCCTGCGCTGCCGACGACTGCCAGGAGCACCAGGCGAGGCGAGGTGAGGGCTGCAGCGGGCGTGTGTGCCCAGCACCGCCTGCCCGGGCAGCTCACGGCGTTCCTTTTGAACTAATTTCCTGTCAAATGGAACCCTGAGATGTGGAATATTACCTTTAAATGGGTTTTGCGGTGATTGTTGAAAAAAAAATGGGTAGGTTTCAGCCCAATTTGGGCCCTTTATCCTACACGGAACTTGCCAAAAGTAGGAGGGAAGGGAGAGAATGTCAGGGTTGGACCTGAGAGGCAGCGGGCAGCCCTGCCAGGCTGGGGCTGAGATCCACCTCAGAGTTTGTCCCTGTGCTGCGTCCTGCTTAAGGTCTTGGAATAAGAACGTGCAAATATTATTTAATGCCCGTTGGGTTCATAATTGCCTGGAGTGAGTATTCTTTGTTTGCAACACATTAAGCTTCATTACAGAATTGAATGCTATTATTTGGGAATTACGATGTTTTCAGAAAACAAGTTTTTAAAGAGATTAGAACTGCTCTGAATTTTTCCAATTGAAAGGTTTCAAATGCTTTTTTTAATGCAAAACTTTCAAAACCTTTTCATTTTAAAATTGTTTTGAATTATTTCCTTTTATTAATTGTAGAAACATGAAGTTCAGTCTGTTGTATTCTCTGGAATGTTTCATTTTTATTTTATTTCTATTTTTTGATCACTGCATATTTTCTCTGCCTTTCTATTTTCTTGTCATTTACATAACAAAACTTGCTGAAAGMCCCTTGCATGTTGGTGCTGCAGTTCATATAGCAGTATGACTTTTGGATTTATTCAGAAGGACATAGATTATGTAAACAATTCTTACATTATTTTTGTAACCTTTTTCTTCCACTTTACATTTGAATCTACCAATTTAATAGGATGTCATTTCCAAGCAGTCTGATATGCATTATGTATCACAAATCCTYACACCTTCCTAAGGTGGAATACTAATTTCTTGGTAAACTGCTCTGCTGTATCGTAAAATGAATCTTTTCATTAGTGGATTATGTGGCAGAGTGTAGACGTCTTTTATATCATAATTTTTTGTGTGTTTTTCTTTTCTTTTTCTTTTCCCCGTCTAATGTGGCTGTTACCTTAATATCTGGCCATTTTGCTATTTCCTGTATTTGGAAATGTGTAAAGTCAATGAGAAGGAAAAGTGAAAAATTTGTGTTCTGGACGCCTCAACCCAGCATTAGCTGCTGTGTGCTCAGCCTGCAGCCCCTGCAGCCAAGTGCCGTCCCAGTCACTAATTCCGAGTGTTGCTCTTGTTTGTCTTCATATCCTCGGGTTCTACATGCCCTGTATAGCCCTCTTGCCAGCAAATTGCTCATAGGAAGGCTTTTTTTTTTTTTTTTTTTTTTTTTTTTTTGTAATTTGTTGCCCTTTTTCCAGGCTTCCGAATGAGGCACAGACGCGTGATGGCAGATCCTGCGGGTGCTCCRGCGGCCTGTCCACATCTGACCGAGGCCCTTCCTTGCGAAGACCCCGTGTGCTACGAGTGGGTCGTTGAGGAAGGGCCCTGYGTGACCGACCACGGCAAATGTGGCCTTGGGCACCGCGTCCTGAAGGCTGCGTGCAAGAACAACAGAGGTGGGTGACGGCCTTGTCTTAAAAGCCCCGTATTTATTGTGCCTCCCTTCAAAATGTTCTTTTGCAGTTATTTACAGTAGGGCCTCATTGAATTTTTATGAAGCTGCCACATTTAGGAGCTGGCTGTGATGTTCTGCGTGGTGCTAATACCACCCAGGATTTTGCTTGGAGCCTTGTGGGCTTCTACTGAGGCCAGAAGCACTATGAGCGTTAACAAAATTAATCTGGACCTTTGCTTTTCTTCTAGCCTGAGGTTCTGGAGTGCCTTTGGAATGCTCGTCTCGTTCTAACAACCCACGCACGAGATCATGCTAAGGAATGCTTATTTGTGCTGCCAGAATTAATACCAGAATTAGATGTTATATAAATGAGATGATTGTACGGAGCAATTCCTCGCTCGCTTGGCAGCAGTTTGAGACCTGCAGCGTGTTCGGTTTACAACTTGTTAATAATGAATAAGTACATTTTTATATGACGTTTACAAACAACCAGCAAGAGCTTATTGCTCGTACATGGTTTGAACTTCAGCCAGGAGTTTCATTCCTTGATAAGGTCAGTGTTGTCAGTTCCTTGGATTCAATTACATCGAGCCCGATTTTGCAGTCCTTAGGCGCACTGAGACTGCAGCATCATCTCAAAAGAGGCAAAACTGGAGCTTGAGAGCCTAGTGTTATATCTGAGGTGGAGAATTTTTCTATTACGTGGTGCTTAAACYGATCACGAGAAATTGTTTCAAGCTGATGAAAAGAAGCCTTAATTGGCAAGTGGTTAAAAATAGTTGGTCATTATGAGGCATTAGGAACTGATAGAATTAAATAAGAGCAGCTTGGCCTGAAGAGCAGACGTTCTTGCGAAGGTGTTTCCTTCACCTAAATGTGCAGCAAGGTGCTTTACGTCTCTCGGCCCCCTTCTCATTGCTGTTTCTCTGCGCCTGTTGTAGTTGCAACAAGCAATGCTGGAACTTCCTTTCCCTGCTCTCTGCTCCCGGGGCAAACATGGCCACTATGCCCAAAACATTGTCCACTTCTCATCTAGAAGATGTTGCAAGGAAATATCCAGATCCCTAGGTAGAAGCATTGCTTAATACTACTTTTAAGCTTCTCTGAATCTTTAATCCAGTAGGATAGGACTGTCAACGTCCTTAAAGGCGATGTTGAAAATGTCAATTTGTTTATCCTTCTGTCAATCAGTAGTGCTAATTGTGCTGTGTATAACCTCTGCTCCTTCCATAATGTTCTCTTAACAARATTCCCGCTGAAATAATCGGTGCATTTTCCAGGATAGAAACTGGAGTAAGTAGCAGAGCTGCACAGAGTGTTTTGCTTGGGATAGTTGCCTGGTTGGTAGCTGGAAGATGGTAGGAAGTCATGAGAGACTGCAGCTTGGGTAAAACAGCAGCAGGGCTCAGAACTTATAGAGAAGTTCAAAACTCTGTGCAAGTAGCTGTGCTGTTGCAAGCTGTGCTGTTGAGGGCTCCTCTCCTGTACGAGGGTCCAAAGGCAGTGGTGTAGTTAAAATAGCGAGGAAATAACGGGCAGAATTGGAGGGGAGCTTCTTCAGGTGCGTCTTCCAAATAGCATCGTTCATCAGGCTGCTCGTTGATTAGTTCCTAACATGTTGTGGTGKACAGAGGTCTCTTTGGGGAAACCTGTGAAGGCAAAAGATAATCAGAAGGTCTGGAAAGATGGATGATGATGCTGACAGCTGGATTACACAGCTCTGTCGTGAGGTGCATGGGTGTGGAATTCACATCAGAGACTGTACTGGAAATCTCTTTGTATTCGCAAAAAAACTCTAAGATTTTTCTCAGAGTTTATTATTTAACTTGTTCAGCAAGGAATTCAATAATCTCCTGTCTGTAGGGTATTCTTAATCAGATTGCTGCAGGTATTTGTCCTCAAAAAATTCGACAGTTTTGATTAGAAGTGAAAAACATCCCTGTGCCTTGACTGGATGAAAATAACTCTCTGAAAACTGTCCACTTGCTTTCTTTAAATATTGATGCTCAGTAGATACAAAACCACAAACATGGTCAAAACCTCCTTATCTTAAAATGCAACTAGACAGTAGCAAAAATRTATTTTGTTTCATTTTTGGGAAATAATCCTCTCTCATATCCTGTGCCCGTGTCGTGGCTGCAGGCATCTCRAGTGCAGCACGATGAACAGAACACGACACTGCAGCCCTGAGGAACACGGAGAATTAAAACTGGCCCAGGTGGAACATCAGTGCCAGCCGGACTTGGCGTGCACGGGTGTTCGCCCAGTCTTCCCATTTAGAGGCTAAGAACGACAAGTGGAATCAGYGTGTGCAGGTTGTTTGGCTTCAGTGTGATGAAGTAGGAACCCTCTTTAGTGTTACTTCACGTCTGTATTAGGCTGCACTGAAAATGCATGGGGTATATTCCATTCCATCTACACTATCTGCTCATCTGGATTACTTCATATTTTTTGGAATTTAAATTGCTGAGGCTTCTCCCTGTTTAAGAAGTATTTTTTTTAATACTAGCTTTCCTTTTATTCATCTGTGTGACCTCTTTGGTTCTAGGAAGTCAATATCTAGAACATGGCACTTGCTAAGGATGCAACTGCTTTTTTTTTTCTCTGTAAGCATTAGTCAGTTCATTGAAAAATGTACATCTTGGGATGGAATACGTCTGTTCCCAAATTTCAGTTCAGTTTGACAGATTTATCGCTAGAACTGGAGACGAGATTGCATTGAGACAAAGGGTTTTCTTTCAGATTTTGCTGGMTTAAACATTTCATGATTATCTTTCTGTAAATGAAAAAGACCATTTTTAAAACAAAATTAAGAAATGCATATATATTTAAAGAGAATGTAAATATTATAAAAGCCAAATATTCTTTCTAGATTGAAACAAATATTTAGCTTCCTTCCGAAATTACCTTTTTTCCTAAGTCCTCTCCCAATGTCTTCCCAGTCTGCTTTTTTATTTTATTTTTTTTCCCTTCTGCAGATTTTTTTCCTTTTCTTTTTTTGGTTCAGTGCCCAAACAGAAACCCATTATTCACACAGCTCTATTGACAGAGCAGACACTAAAATCCTGTTGGAATTCAAGCAAAGAGTAAAGAGAAGGAAGGTAATCAAAGCAGTGTTATTTTAAGATCCAATATTGTGTTCTGCCAGAGCTTGACAGTGAAACTCTGCACTTACAGAAGGCTGAGGACTCTTTGGGGGTAGAATATTAATAACGCTGTGTTTAGCTACCTGTCTATACTTCCATCTCAATCACATTGTATCTTTAGGTCCCCCAAAATGGTTGTCTGCAGGGACAGCTTGCAGTGCGAGCGCTGCTCGGTGTGGAGCATCGCAAGAGGCCTGAGCGTTCATGACGACTTTGCCTTTGGTTTTGTCACTAGCCTCAAGTAATTACATGGAAAGAAGGGATTTAACTTTTGGAAATTGCAGATATAAAACAAGCATGTACAAAGCCTCTAAAAGTGCTCTGAGTTCTACTCAAAGAAGAYAATATAAGCACAAAACCTGGCTGTTTTTTTTCCTGATTCAATGCCTGGAGCTATCGGCTTTCTGAAAAGTTCTCATTTAATATAAATCTCTGCAAAGTCCTTGTGCTTATTTGAGCTGGAGTGAACTCTTGATTTTTCATGTCGTAATGGATTAATGATGTAGAATAAATTTACAGTCTGTTTAATTTCTCAGAAAAATGTTTTACTGTGTTAAATTTACTGAAAGGAAGTTTTAAATATGCTGTTCTTGCTATGCCAGAATAAGTTTTTATATCTCCAGGATAGTCCAGTGACACCTCAAAATATAGTAGGTTCTGTTTATTCTGTAAGAGCAGCATAACCTTAGTTGTATTCATTCTTTATTTCACAAAAAGAAAAAAACTTTYGGGAACCAAAGAAGCAATTTTGTTTTTTGTGAAGTTAAAATAATTGCTTTCAAGTCAGCATGGAAATGTACCTGTCTTTAGTCTGACTATACCTAGAGAAAGAAAAAAATATTGTTTTTAGCAATGCTTTTTTTTCCCCAAGATCTGTCTATACACAGCACATACCCAGGAGGGTTTTAACGTAGGGAGGAGGACAGGTGAAGGACGAGCTTCTGGTGATAAGGAATAAATGAGAGAACGAGGTACAGATAAAAGTTACATGGCTCAGCCACTGGATTAGAAACTGTGGGTCTCTGCTTGCTCAATTATTGTTATTCAGAAAGGCTGCACAATGAATTGTGCACTTTTGGGATAAAATGTATTYGTTGTCATCTTTAGTGGAGCTCGCAGAGGTCACGATGGGAGTTTTGCCTGAATAAGGTCTCATTAACCTGCTTATGCTCCACCATGGACTCTACGTGGAAGTGCAGGCTGGAGCCTGGACAGCTTTCTGCTGTGACATTTGGGTTTATTTCTTAGAAAAAGGTAAAATTTTATGCGATTACCCAAAACACTTGCAACCCACAACCAAAAAAACAAATMGAGGACCAACTATTGGAAGCTGGCAGGTTCAGTTAGTGCTGCAGGGCTTGGCCTCCTGCACCAAACTGCTGATCCTGCCCGTCAGTCTGGGCCTTATCCCCACCTTGCCTATTGGAGGCTTTTCCCCACAAGCCAATGAGGGCAGAAACTCAAAAAGCAGTTCTTGGAGTAGCCGCTCCTGCTGAAACAGGAGTTGTAAAATACAGGGTGAAATAAAGGGCACCCACGTATTATCACCCAAAATACAGGGCGGAATAGCAGGTGATGGAAGACTGGAAGGTAACTGTGGGTAACCTCCCACAGTTCGTTTCCTTGATTAGTTCCCTTTAGTTTTAAAAGCAAGGAGGCTGCCTGATTTCCAGCCGTGCTGTGGCTGTCCTGGCAGTGGGCACGGCTGGTCATCCGGAAGGCAGATGGCCTCGGCAGCCAGYGGGGAGTTCTGCTCCGTGTAGCTGGCACGCGGAGGTACCAGCAGGGACAAGTGATCCTGCAGGAAACACGCTGGGTGCAGAGGCACGTGGCCAGCTTTCCTCCTGCACGTGTA